GGAAGCCCGGCCAACCTCGTGACCTCGGCATCACCCACTCGGGACTGTGCACCCCTCAGTCACTCCTGTGGCCTCCCGTGGAGTTGGCCGTAAAGTTGTCACGCCCTTTGTCCCTCTGTACTCAGCTCTTCTGCTTCCTGGAGACAGGAACTGTCATGAGTTGGTAGTGGTTTTTTCCTCCTCACAATTTTTTATAAATATGCACACACACACGCACACACACACACACACACACACACCCCTCTGTATGAGATGTATACCACGGCAGGAAGCTACAGAGAAATTGTCCCTTGTGATCGAGGTAGGGTGGAGGGTGCCAGGTGCCAGCTAACCAAAATCAGCTCTGTATGTTTTCGTTTTTATGTTGGTCGTGCTAGGGGTGGAATCAGGGCCTCGCTTGTGCCCAGCAAGCACTCTAGTGCTGAGCCTCAGGCTGGGCTGGAGCCTGCCATCCTCCTGCCTCAGCCTCCGGAGCAGCCAGTGGGATCACGGGGCGTGGCTCTGCCCCGCCGAGCTGTGCGGTTGGAGAGGGCATGGGGCGCAGCTGCAGGCCGCGGGCCAGGCTCGGGGACCCCCGGGGGCAGCACCTGGCCGGCACGCACAGAGCACGCACGCAGAGTGTGACCGGGCCGCCCGGGCCTCTGCGCTGCAGATGTACGACAACATAGCGCTGCTGCGGTTCAGTGACGGCGAGAGCGGGGAGAAGCTGGTGTCGGCCATGCTCTCGGCCGAGGGGGAGGCCATGGCCTTCCGGAAGCTGGTGCGCGCCGAGGGCCGCGTGGAGGACTGGATGACAGCCGTGCTGCGGGAGATGCGGAGGACCAACAGGCTCATCACCAAGGAGGCCATCTTCAGATACTGCGAGGACAGGAGCAGGTGAGGGTGTCCCGGGGCGCGGAGGCCGCCGCTCTGGCCTCTGCAGGAAGTCTCTGCCCCAGGGCAACACTTTGCGAGGCGGCCTGGAGCTTGCTGACAACACCCGGAATCCCAGCACTCTGGGAGGCTGAGGCAGGAGGACTGAGAGTTCCCACCCAGCCTGGGCAACCTGATGACATTCATTGTAAGAGCCCGTCTCAAATAAAAATTTCGGAAGGCTGGGGATGTCGCTCAGCCCTGGGCTCAAGCCCTAGTCTGTCTCTGCCTCCGTCTGCCTCCCACCCTCGCCTCTGCACGTTATGTGGTGTACGTTACTCTATTCCATGGTGAACCAGCTCTGGGCAAAAGCCGCTTTGATGAGAGCTCTCAGCACTTTGGCGGTGTGAGCTTCCCACCCGGCCCGTGTCACAGCTTGTGGCAGAGCAGGGAGGGCTTACCAAGCAGCCCGTGTCACTCTGGAACATTCTGGAGTTCAACCGAGAGCACGCAGGAGCTGACGTGACAGCCCTGCAGCATGTTGCTGACCCCCAAGACCTGCAGGTGGCTGCCGAGATGAGCAAGGGAGAGCGCAGGGCCAGAGGGACTCGTGGAGAGAGGACAGCCACCCCTTTCCCTGTGTCTCTGTGTGACTATGATGGGATTTGGACGAGAAGGGAGGGAGCTGTGGGAAGCTCACGCAGGCCGCCATAACAAGACCTGCCGGAGGATGGTAGTCCCTGTTAGAAATTTAACTTTCTTACAATAAACCCATAATACTAAGTATGTTTTTCCCTGGTACTAAGGTTGACCCCAGGGGTGCTCTCTCACTGAGCTACATCCCCAGCCCTTCTTTAAAATTTTGAGACAAGGTCTCCTTAAGTTGCCCAACCTGGCTTTGAACTTGCAATCCTCCTGCCTCCGTGGCCAGGATCACAGGTGTGCACCACTGTACCTGGCAAGAATGATTTTTGAAAACCTGTGACAGAACAAAGCAATTTGGCATTCTGCTATGTACTGAGGAACCTACAAGATTTTTTATTATGGGCAACTTTGGTCTGATATTTTAGCCAAAGAGAATTACTGTCATTTGCTTATGCTTAGATTTTACTTTGCCCCCTCTTCTGGATCGGAGATACCAATGTCTGGGTTTTTTTCCGTCTCTGTCTCTGTCTCAATCTTTCTGTCTCTTTCTCCCTCTGCACTACTAGGGATTGAGTGAAACTTTCTACTAGGGATTAAACCCAGGGACTTTGCACTGAGCTACATCCCCACTTCCTTAAGAAAAAAAATATTTTTTGAGACACAATCTCGTTAAATTGCTGGGGTTTCAGGGCTGGGCCTCAACTGTGATCCTCTTGCTTTAGCCTCTCAGAGTGCCGCATAACGGGGCCACCACGCTCAGCACAGACGCCAGCCCTGCCTGCCCTGAGGCTCACAGTGCGCTGTCCCCTAGGGTGGACTGGATGCTGCTGTACCAGGGCATGGTGGTGCTGGCTGCCAGCCAGGTGTGGTGGACCTGGGAGGTGGAGGACGTGTTCCGCAAGGTGCAGGCAGGCAAGAAGCAGGCCATGAAGAGTTTCGGCCGCAAGATGCACCAGCAGATCGACGAGCTAGTCACACGCATCACCACGCCACTGAGCAAGAATGACAGGAAGAAGTACAACACGGTCCTCATCATTGACGTGCATGCCAGGGACATCGTGGACTCCTTCATCCGCGGCAGGTACGGGCCTCCTGGGAGTGGCATGCAGGCAGGGGGTGCTGTGTTGTTCTGTTCCGAGCCTCCCTGCATCAGCCCTGTCCCCTCCCCTGTCCCTACCCAGCATCCTTGAGGCCCGGGAGTTCGAGTGGGAAAGCCAGCTGCGGTTCTACTGGGACCGTGAGCCCGACGAGCTGAACATCCGCCAGTGCACGGGGACCTTCGGCTATGGCTACGAGTACATGGGGCTCAATGGGCGCCTGGTCATCACGCCCCTCACTGACCGCATCTATCTGACGCTCACACAGGTGCTGGCTCCTGCAGACACAGGCGGGAGGAGCCTCCTGCTCCTGTGGGGAATAGGACCTGTCGCCTCTCAGGCATCCTGGGGCAGCCTTTGGGCATCACCAGGCACCAGACTGGCTCCTGCTTGCAGGCCCTGGGCTCACAGCAAGGGGTGGGTGTTCAGTGGATGTCAGAGGAAAGTGTGTGACTGTCACAGGTGGTGACCGTCCCGAGGGGCTGGGGTGCCCCGTCTTGTGATAGTTTTCATTCCGAGTGACCTGTCCCCGGTGAGTGGCCTCAGGGTGAGATAGTGCCCCCCAGGAGAGGAGGTCCATGTTAGTATCTGGCTCAGAGCATGGCAGCGTCCCCACATGTCTGTGGGGGACACCACTGACTCTGTCTGGATGATGGTGTGCTGAGCTTGTACAGTGGCCCTTCTGCTGAGACCCAGCCCATGTCCCTGGAGGTTGGGGACAGCACCGGGGGGAGGGGTGGGAATGGAAACCTGAGCTGTGTGACAACATCTGTTTCTTCAAAACAACAGGAGTGTGAATTTACCTACACTAGTGGGGTGCTCCAGGGCCTGCCTCCCCCATGACACATGCGCACAAGCTTGCGCACATGCGCACACCTAGGAAGAGACACTCAGAGGCCTTGGCTTCCCAGCCAGGGTGGCCGATTGCCTCTGCACCTGCGCTCTGCACTGTGTCAGGGTGTGGGGGCGACAGGAGCTGGTCATGTGGGGGTGAAGGCCCAGCCTGAGCCTCAGGCACAGGATGCCCCTTCTTCTGCCTTTTATTCCCTCCTATTCCCAGTGGCCTAGACGGTGCCACCGTTCTAGGTGGCGCTCCTGTCCCACAGCCCCTCACCCTGCCAGGCTGACCCATCCCCCCACCACTGCTGTCCACAGACCCTGCCTGGCTGTGTCCTCACTGGCAGCACCAAGCTCAGAGCTCTGCCTCCTCCCTCCACCTCCTTACAGGCGCTGTCCATGTACCTGGGCGGCGCCCCAGCCGGCCCAGCAGGAACCGGCAAGACTGAGACCACCAAGGACCTGGCCAAGGCCTTGGGCCTGCTGTGTGTGGTCACCAACTGTGGCGAGGGCATGGACTACAAGGTAACGGCCCTGTGGCTCTTGCCCTGGTGCTGTCTGCTTTTGTACCGGGTCTTCAGCGCGGCGCTCCCCATGTGTCTGTGAGGGGACAGCCAGCTCTCACCCCAGCTCTTGGCCAAGTGCCCCAAACATGGCCTTGTACCTTCATGCTTAGCAGACAGGGCGGTGACACAGGGGCGCGTGGAGATGACAGGGACTGGCTTGGGATATGGTCTCCGCAGAGCCATGTTCCAAATGTCGCCCATCAGAGCAGGATCCATAGGCCACTTGGGAAAGAGGCCAACTGTCAGTGGATTTCAACATTTCAAGTGAGGCCATAAATCTGAAGTTTTGTACCACACACACACACACACACACACACACCTCTTGATGTATGAAACATTGGGTGTGAGGTGCTTTGGTATCTTCCCAGAGAGACCTTGGCAGTAGGGCTGGGACCCTGCTGCTGCCCGATGGACGAGCGTGTCATTTAATTTGGAGAACACGTCCACTGACATGGTGCTCTCCGCAGTCTCGGAGGCTGGGCCCTCGTCCTGATGCCCTGCCTCGGTGTCCCCACAGGCCGTGGGTAAGATCTTCTCCGGCCTGGCCCAGTGCGGGGCCTGGGGCTGTTTCGATGAGTTCAACCGCATCGACGCGTCCGTGCTGTCGGTGATCTCCTCGCAGATCCAGACGATCCGCAACGCGCTCATCCACCAGCTCACCACCTTCCAGGTGAGGCCGGCACGTGGCGGGCCTGCGCCCTGGCAGCCTGCTCGGGACACCCGTGGCCGGAAGGCAGTGCGGGGTCTGCCTATGGGACCATCAGGCTTCTCCAGATGAGCCTCGGCTCTGTGCTCCGGGGTGTGATTCTCCACGGACTTGCAGTGGCCCGGCACAGGGCTGATGGTCGCAGAAGGTCATTCCCACCGTGCTGCGGGGGCTGTGTCCAGCCCTGTGTGACAGCAGGCAGGGACTCGGAGAGGCCGTGTGCTGCTGGGGTCACACAGCACCCCAGGCAGCGCTGCCTGTGACCCCCCCCCCCTTTGCCTGCAGTTTGAAGGGCAGGAGATCTCGCTGGACGCGCGCATGGGCATCTTTATCACCATGAACCCGGGCTACGCGGGCCGCACGGAGCTGCCTGAGTCGGTGAAGGCGCTGTTCCGGCCTGTGGTGGTCATCGTGCCCGACCTGCAGCAGATCTGCGAGATTATGCTCTTCTCTGAGGGCTTCCTGGGGGCCAAGGTGGGCAAGGCCGCTGGCCCCTCCTGTCATGCTGCAAGCCACCTGGCTTTCTTTCCAGCACTCTGGGAGGCTGAGGCAGGAGGGTTGCAAGTTCCAGTCTAGCCTGGGCAACTTACCAAGACCTGTGTCAAAATAAACACAAAGGACTGGGGATGTAGCTGAGCGTAAAACAAAAAGAACAAAACCACAGACAACCAACCAACCAACCAACCAACAAAAAACTCCTGTTAGGAAAGGTTTAAGATTCACAAGCGGTTGTGACACCGGTCACTCAGAGACCCTGTGTACCCATCATGGTCACAGCTTAAATTGAACATCATATATATGTATGTACTTGAGGGTACTGCCACTTATATGTATATAGTCCTTAATATCCTTTTAATATACGCACATATGTGTGGAAAGATAATCTTTTATACTATCTTCTTTCAAGAGATGGTTTTTGAGGTCCTAGGGCTTAAGGGTACTGCTTGCCTAGCTCTGTGTATGCTACGCAAGAATTTTATCACTGAGCTACGTTATTACTATTAGGCTTTAGCGTTGTGGTTGTTGCTAATATTGAAATTTGAAGCAGCCTCTCTGGCTGAGGTGCCAGGGTTGGTTTCAAACTTGTAGCGGTCCTCCTGCTTCAGCCTCCCAGGCAGCTGGGATTCCAGGGGTGCACCACCAATGGAAATACTTATATAGGTCTAAGTCTGTATCCATCTGTGCGTCTTTTATAACGTCATCTTTCAAGATCTCTATAAAAGCTTGCGCACAGTTATTTCTGGGTGGCTCTGGGAAAGGCACAGCCTGGATGCTTTTAGCTGAGGGGTCACGCTGTGGCGGTTCTGCGGTGGTTTTCAGAAGGCCGCGGACTGTGGTCCCGTTCCTTTTCCTGACCCAAAGCCTTGTGGTAGGCGGGTCCGGGTCACCGTGAACACGCCGCGTCTTCCCAGCGCGGCTGCTTTGCAGGACGCGCCGGCTTGGCGCTGGGGGCGTGTTTGCGCCTGCGGTGGCGGCGACGGGGTGGGGGTGGGTGGTTGCTGCCG